AAAAGATGTTTTAGAACTTATTTGATTCCTTTCTGAAGTATTTAGAGTTAATTAAACCAGTATTACTTTATGCCAAATTAATTAAAGTTACAACTCTCGAATAAACACAAAATCTAACCTAACTTTCAAATATCTAAAACTGCACAAAGAGTGCACTTATGATATTTTTAGATTCATAAGTAGGACTAGCTCTGTTAAATGAGAAAAAGAACACTGACACGATCAAGTCAGCAAACTTGGCTGGTGATTAAATCTATAAAGTCCAGAGTAAACATAACTAACTAATTAATTTTCACATTTTCTGGAGTACAAGCACCAATTTTTAAAGAAGCAAAGCTCAACAATACGGATGGCTGGCTGCTTTTGAAGGAGGTCTTCAGCATGTTGATGGAACTGCCACTTGCCCGGGCCACTGCTGAAATGTCACTACATCATACGTTTGTTAGGCATGTATGTGTCTTTTTATGTCTTACAAACTTAAACATTTGGTTTCTTGTGATAAAGTGAACATCGTTGTTGAAAAAGATGCTAATGTAAGCTAATGTAACCAAGATAACGTTATAAATGGCTGGCATATGTGAGGTTATGTTGAAAGACAGAATTTGCGATAGCTTAAGAAGCATCTGGATGGGTTTAAAATGACAAATGTGCCTCAGAGTATACCATTGTTTTCCAGCAAATGTGTGGTTATTGTAAACATGACTGAATAAATCATCTGAACTACTTAAAAACTGAACTACTGGACTGACCAGCAAAAAAAAGTAATATCGAGCCCTGAAAAGCACATAGAAAAAGAATCATAGGAACAGTGTGAAAGTCAAGAACACTGAAGCTTTAAACCAAACCTCATTACCAATATGACAGAAAAAGAATTAGTGAGATGGTCAAGTCTTTAACATGCTTTATAAGGCTCAGGCTAATAATAATTTCCATCAATGGACAGTCTCATTATATTAGAGGTCTTATTTTCAAAAAGTGCTGAATATTTGCAGAGCGAGCCGCTTCATCCATGATGACTTTTGAACAACGAGAGGGAATTACATTGACTTTGATGGAAATAGTGCTGTAAATGTCGGACCATAAGCCGCAGCTCAGCTTTGATTAAGAACGGATCTCCATGCCAGATGTTCTGTTTGTTCGTCATGGACACAATTAACTCTACATGACTACCTTTGTATTTCACCACGTTCTGCTGGCTGGTGACCGCTCTTTTAAAAACCGAATACGACGCAAGGCTTTCAAATCATAATTGGCAAGTTGCAGCTTGCCTGACAGGAGAACCTTTGAAACTTTCCAAAGAAACTAAATTTCAGCGAGTTTGTCAGGCAGTCAATGAAACATGGGGCATGAGCACTAAAATTGCAATGCCCACCATCCAGACACAGATCAACATCATTTATAGATCTATTTGTAGACCTTAATCAGTTGAGACTCCATATTGAATTTAACACAAATAAAACTAGACTGTGAGGGATGGACTTACATTCTTTACAATGGCACAATTTTAAACAGATTTTTATCAGCATGTTAAACCAACAGTATGTTAGCCAGCTAAATAACATTGGGCCTCATTTATCAATCTAACGTAGAAACTAGCGCAGATCTGTGCGCACAAATCAACTTACGACAGAGTTCACGTGTGATTTATGAAACATTCGTGTGCCGCCAATCTCATCGTTCGAATGATCGTATGTTGATAAATATGCGACGATTGAATCCTCACGGTCTTGTTTATGCTGCTATTCGCGCATATAAAGCTAAAGCCCGGTACAAAACAACAATAACAAAAAAAAAGACATTCTAATCTTACTGGTTAATGATCGACTAATGAGCTTCGTTTGACGGTCAGGAATATAAAAATGAACAAAATGCTGTCAATCTACAACTCTCCACCATATTTACTATGCTCTGCGCAAGTTCAGGTAACTCAAAAACTTGCGTACACGAGCTGAGACCAGACGTGAGATTTGATCGTAGCCACCGCTCACATCCATATTGATAAATTCCAAGTTTTGCATTGAAACGACCGTATGCCCAATTTTCTGTCGTATGTTCGTTTCGTACATGAGGCCCATTATCTTGGCGACATATCAGAATTTCCAAAAAAATTAAAAATTAAATAAAACTAGAATACAGCACAAAAACAAAGGGGAAAGAAAACCTGTTTAAAAAACATTAAAATTAATGTAAAATGTTCAATGGCAATGCAGCATTAGCCTGGAAAGACAACAGGCCACCCTTATAAAACCTCAAAATCTTCTCAATGGCCAAGAAACTGGTTCAATGGTCAATTTAGTCCATGTAACAACCCAAAATTCTGGTTTAAAGCCTAATTTAGTCTTATCTAACCCTGTTATCCTTTACCTTACATAAAAAAAATAAATAATAATAAACTGAATGAATGCATTCTATCACTTTTGGAAATACTCCCCTGCAACAATTACTGGTCAGTGGCAGCTCTACTAAAATGGAGTTTCAGAGTTAAACTAAGGATTTTCAACCAAGCAATTGATTTTAGACAATCTCACTGGAAATGATTCTGAGTATCATAAAAGACCCATTCCAAGCCTGATTTATGGAGTCGACAGGAATACAAAGATTGACACATTTCATTTTCTTCCAGTGTGGCCATCCTGAATAAAAAAAAAAAAAGTGCAGGCAGCATATGTTTTCATTAGCCAGGATGGATTATTGCAGAGGCTTATACATCTTCAATATACTGGCAGGAGCGAGATTGTTGACTAGCAGTGTCTGTTCTCTGCTTCGGTCAGACAAGAGCTTACCGAATAATAATTCAAATGACTTTTCTCAGAGAACATTCTGCTGAAATAAAACCCATCCCACCAGCTGTCCAAATGCCTGGCAGACTCACTATGACGGCCAGCCTTGACGAGATGGCATGTAGATGACGAAAAGAGAAAAATCTGCCAAGCTGAAAGATAATTTACCATGCTAAGATGAGACTTTCTTAATTTTGCATTATCCATCTATGACACATCTTAATGCCCAACATTCAGGTGCAACACAAAACTCAGAAACAGCATGGCACAAAACACATTTCCTAAAAACATCTTCAACTAGCACAAAGAACGTTCAATCCCAGAAGCACAAGGAAATTTATGCAGACTACATGCCAGCACTAAATGCACAAAGCCTGTCTCTTCTCCACTTACCAGTGATCAACCAAACACAACCGTTCCCCAGTTTCAATTAAAATGCCCAATTAAACCCAAGCTGGGCAGACTAATGTTGTTAAGTAATCTTAGTTCAAAAAGCTGCCCGATTTATTATTGTTCCCTATATCCTGCGCACATTTTAATTTCTCCAGTTATAGCAGCAATTAAACCTGCTGCTGCTGCATTGTTTACCATTAGACACTCACATTTGAATTTCGGATATTAATGGAGAGAAGATGACAAACAAACTATTACCTTAACAGCCACAACACCGTTCTGCAGATGAATGAAAGATTTAAACTGCACTTCATATTTAGAGTGTTATTTTATACACAACCTCAATAAAATAACCGGTGAGCTCATGCTTAACAAAACCTTGATAGAAAAACAGACCACTGTAGATCTTTTAAACTGCTTTATCTACATTAAGTAAATAATGTAAATATAAACATAAATAAATATTTGTGGTTAGTAAGACGTTTTTAATGTTTCTGTAAGAAGTTTACTATGCTCACAAATTCTGAATTTATTTGATCAAAAAACAGAAAATAGTAATAGCGGTTTTCTTTTTTAAAATGCAATTCATTCCTGTGATCGAAGCTGAATTTTCAGCAGCATTACTCCAGTTTTCAGTGTTACATGATCCTTCAGAAATCATTCTAATTTGATGATTTGCTAATATCCTCAAGAAGCATTTCTTCTTTTTGTTATCATCAATGTTGTGGAAACCATGATACATGTTTTTCAGGATTCTTTGGTGAATATAAAGTTTAAAAGAACAGCATTTATTTTTTATATTTTATAACATTATAAATGATTTACTTTTATATCCGCTTAATGCATTCTTGCTAAATAAAATTATTTCTTCAAAAAATAAAAAATAAAAAAACCTTACTGACCCCATAAGTGTGCATATGTATTGTAATACATTTCTTTAATTTAGCATTTCCAGTACAGTGCCTGACTATTTTCAAAAGATTAGAGCCTGTTTGATCCTGTGCACTTCAATATTTGTGCTTGTGCTGCTGCACAAAAGACAACAAGGAATCAGAAAAGCTCAAGCATGAAAAGCCCTCAATGTGCCGTCTGCTGGGAATATCCAGACACACATTACATTAACATGCATTCTAAATATGATGCAAGGGGAGAAACTCAATGGTAGGAATACAAACACATGCGTTGTCTTTCAAAGGATAATAGCCTATCGCAGGGAAGCACATTTTGCTGCCATTTGGCAGGGTTGGGGTAAAAGAAAAACAAGATGCCTCCACTGTGGGTTACAGCAATCTTGGCAGGAGCTAACAGAAAAGCTGCTTTTGATTTCCTGACCAACAACCCTCCCTGTCACCTCCTCGATCTTCTAGTCACCTTTTAATCTCGTCTGAGGGTGGAAATGACCCATGACTTCTCAGTGTGTGCCATCAAGCACTTTACATTAAGCCTCTCCAAACTATCATCTCTTTCGCCCACTCTTCTACACCTTAAAAAAAAGCAATTTCATGACTGCTATAATCTCTCGATTGCGTTACCTTTCTACCTAACTTCGAAGACCACCTTAACGCAGCTCCCCTATCAACTCTAACTGTGAGCTACAAGCTCTGTTTCTGTAGCTTACAATAACCCCCCTATGAACCCTTTAAATAGGAAACCTTTAAGTTTTAGTGAAGGAATACAAGTTAAATGTGGGTAGTTTTGTATTATTGAACTCTGAGTGAATCTGAAACCATTCTCAATTAAAACCAAATGTAAAATCCCTCCTAATAATGCCTTCCTTCAAAGTAACATAGCACAGGCCCCGTTTACAACATCCATCTCGCCACTTACAAATGATTCTCTAGTGGTGAACACTGATTGTTGTGTGGATGGGGCTCCAATTTTGTTACTTACCGCAAGTGCTTTGGACAGTCTTGTTCGGAAGTCATTAAGGACAATCGTGACAATTTCGTGGTGGGGAATGTAGGCATTTCCAGCCAGCAAGTAGACTTTCCTTGTGCGCACTAAATCCAGGGCATCCTGAAATGGGACCTTTGACACAGAACAATAAGTTATATACTTTATTAATAATTTTTAAATTTACTGCACATACAAAATGTTAAAATGTTACAGCTTACGCTTATTTTAAATGATTAACAAAAGGGTCAATAAATAAATTCTAATAATATCTCATTCTAGTTTAGACAAGCATTTATAAGCCATGGAATATGCAATATAAACTTTAACTTGTTTTAAATAAATGTAATGATTTAAAATGAACCTTTCTAGTGTCCCTTCTTTTATTTTTACAAAGTTACAGAGACTCAGCATTAAATAGCTTTTCAGAACTCTGTATCATTTTTATAATGAAGATGTTACAGTTAACTTACTTTGTAGAAGTCATATTCTTCCACTGTGATTCCACTTAATCCATAACTGGAGGTGATGAGCTTGTCTTTTAGGCTCTTCTTTTCCTCTGCACTTACCTGTAAAATGAAAGGGGAAACAAATTGCACAGCTGACATTTAGCTTGAACTAGAAGAGCTAAAGCACGGACAACATTTGGCAAAGACAAAAAGCATTTATCGCCACAATTCAGAGTGCAAATTGAAAGAAAAACAGCAGATTAAATTATCATGCAAAAAGGTTATGACAAAATTAATTGTTTAACATTTATTCAGTGGCATAATGGCATTAGCATTTATTTATGGCTAGAAAACATGAGCATTCAGGCATAGCTCTGAAATCATATTAGGAAAATGTTAAGAGAGTGGAACTGAAAGACATGAACTGAATGATGAACAATGTTTTTAGTGTAGAACAACTGCCCCCTACAGGACTGTACGTGAAAACACACTGATCTTCCACTTGCCCAGACCTGTACATATCTAAAACACCAATGATCATGATGGGATCTTTTAAATAAGAAATAAAAAGTGAAATTAAGGTTTTAGCAGGGGCACGCAATGAACAATTTCCATGTTTCAGTTACAAAACATTAGACAAAGTGATTAGTCAGCAATGTATTGGGAAGCTGGACGAGAGTTTTGAATCTGATTAGGACAGAAAATAACACCTACAGATGAGAAATCACTATACCATATTGTCTCTGTAAATGGATCTACCATGAAAATTGATAGTTAATTTTATCAGTTATTTTTCAGTTTTTGTAAACTAAAATAAGGAAATACACAGATTTTTCTGGTAAAATCAAAAGAAAGTAAATTGTGGGAGGTTTCAACAATTAAATGAATATGTAAAGCAGTCTCACCGTCTCGTACTTCAAATTATTTTTATGCAAAAAGTCAGTCTTGTGCTTCGAAGTAAGGTCACCAAATCGGTAACGGAAAAGATCCATTTCCTGTTGGATAAACCATCGTCTCAGGTCCTCCCTAAAATGAAATAAAAGTATATGGTTCATTTATACCTTACATTTCAAAACTTGCCTATAAATGATCTTAAATACATACATTTAAAAGAATATGACTTTGGAGCAAAACCCTGCATGTAGGTCTGTAAACTGTTTAGCTTGAACTTAGATTATAAATGTTACATAAATGAACATTCATAGCTTAAGTTTCAGCACACAAACAAAAACAAAATAATAGAATCGTTCACATAAAAAAAAAAATTGGCCAAACCAAACACATGAATTCATCTGTATGAGTACATCCTGATTTACACATGACGAACACTTACGTCTGGCAATAAGCCAAGCGTAGAATAAAATGGGAGATATGGTCTTTTCTTCGTTTCTCATATTCAGATGTTCCTCCCTGAACCTTCCGGTCACCCTGGGTGATTAGGGCAGATTGTTGGGGGAAAAAAGAAAAGAAAGAGTTATAAAATAAACAGTGTACGCTAATTCTGGCACATTGTGCATTTATGTATTGTTGATGTGCATTGTCCCTGTTAAATAAACCTGAAATAAATAAAGAGTTTGAAAGCAAAAAGACAACATAAAATTACATTTTCTATGACTTATGAGCAAAATATAGTCAAATGAAATATCCATCCTCTTTTCTTAAGTTGTGTATGTGTGTTGCGTACATAGTAGGGCTGGACAATAATTCTTCCAATTTCTTGACGTAGTGCTCGGAATTTTTCACATAGCTCACCCCAAGGTTTTCCACAGTCTTGAGCACTTGAAAAAGCACATCATAATTATATAAAAAAAATGTTTAATTCAAAGGCTCTTAAAAACACCTGAGCCATGCAGATGACTCACATTTCAGCCTCTCCACTGCGAAGGTTTCAAACTCAGTGAGAGAGATGTTTTCCAGAGGAGGCTGTCCATAGAACTGAAGACAGTGGTCATACAGATCATTCTGAGAGCTGCCGATCAGCTTCTTTCTTCTGCCTGAAAACTGCATTGCAATTCTAGACACATTGTTTTAACAATAAGTTTACTAAAACTGGACAATGTGACAACTCTTAAAACCCACATAAAAGCACTGACAGACCTGCAGCGATTATATATATAAAAAAAAGACAAAGTAGTTGACGATCAATAATTACACACCCAGACGCCACAGTAACGTTACAGCTCTCATGAAAGTTCATAAACAGTAACTATAATTCCTGAACTTGAATAATGCTAGGTTAACTAACGTTAGCTAACATAGTTCATAGTTTAAGTAACATCGTTTGCTTTCTGTTACCAATGTCCTCATGCGTATCTAACATTAAATACGTATATTACAATAATATCAGGTGTCTTAACTATGTATTTACTACATGTAACTGTCATCTAATAACAAACTCACATCTCAAAACAATCGCTGTCTGTCTCTTCCCGAAGCCTGAATCCCGCCAACGAGCTGACGTTCCAAACAAAGCGCGGGTATATGACGCCACTCTTCAAATTCACCAATACATACATACATACACTTGTACGTATATATAAAATCAAATAAATACATTGTAAAGTTCACAGACTTTCAAAGTTCTTACAGCTTTCTTATTCACAGAGTCTCTGATACTGTCAATATATATATATATAAATATTTCAGTCAACAAAACCATAAAATTGGGTTTTTTATTGGTAAATGTACACTTATGAATGTGAAATTTGGTCATTAAAAAAGTAAATTAATTAAGTAAAAGTACTGTTCCTCAGGATAGTCAGTAAAACCAAAAAGTACATTTTTCCATAGGAGTGAAGAAGGTCTTAAACTCTGAATATTTTCGCTAATACATTTTTGGACCTTACACCATAGTGTAACCGAGTATGTACAGTACCAAAATAAGTTTCCTCATACTCGTTACAAAAAAATACAATTTACATTTATTCCTTTTTTAAATTTTTGTAAATAATGATTTGCTGGATAAAATCTATGAATAAGCTTATAAGAAACGTCTTTAATCTTATTTCTAAGATGATATTTCTGTGGTAACAACCACACTTTTCTCCAGCAAATCAATTTTCCGTTCAAAAAAAGAGACCCAATGAGACAAGACATAAGGTACAGTAACAATGTCTCTTTGGATTGTGTTCTGTTTTCTGTTGGTGAATTCATGTCTGAATCATTTCCACGAAATCGGTTCTTTTGAACAGTTCATTTCAAACAACCAGTTCAACTATTCTTGTACATTGTTACGTATTACTTTTTTCATGTGGTTCCTGACGTTCTAAAAAAAAAGCTATATTTAAGCACATATTTTTGAGTTTAATGTTTTTTTTTCTTTTTGGTTACTCATTTAAAACTTAGGTTGAAAAGTGTTGATAAAACTGCCGTACAAATAAAGTAATAAACTGATTAGGTAGAGCACGTGTTATTTGTAACATTTCTCTTATTCGGCTTTTAAAGTAACTTTTCGCCCTATCCGTCAAATGTTCAGTTCAGTCCTACTGTCCACTCACTTTCAATTCTCTTGAACAAATCCTTCAGACTGGTTTTGGTAACAGGCTCAAATGATTCATTTTTGTTCCATAAATACTGCATAAACAACAAAAAAATGCTTTATTTTTCATTTCATTTTCACAAATTTCATTTCATTTTGTTGTTGTTTTTTCTAGTATGAAACACACCTTTGACACCGTGATTTACTTAAAATGGTATATAACATATAAATACCTTTAATAGGCTAAATACATTTTAACTGTCTTGCATTGTAGTAAGTAACTTATAGGAATGCCTTTGCACTATATAAAAAAATAATTTATTTGAAATGCATTTATCTGATATACTTAATTTCCAAATAGAAAACAAGATGAACTTGAGTAAAGTTGCTTCCAAGAAAATTTGCCCTAAATAATGTGTTTCCATTCCCACAATATTGTTCTAAGCAATGTTATAGACAATTGTCATATCCGTATGATCTTTTATTGATTGATTCATTCATTCATTTTTGTGGTCACTAAGCTCTTTCTAGCTCACTTCATCTCAATGTGCATCATTGTAAAAAGAAAAAGGCTGTTTGAGTTTATTCCATAAATATCTAATGGAGTGAGCATTGCTTGCTTTGAAAATATATTGCTTGTTGCTTCACAACAGCACGTGTCATTCTACACAAGAATATTCAGCAACAGCTTGTTCATTCTGCACTATAGAGATCTGTGTACTTCCTTATTAAACCCACACACCACTCAGTAAACATGTGACTGAGCCAGACCAGCTGACTGTATCAGTCTTTAAGGGTTGTTGTCAGAGAGCTCATTGTGCTTTCACCTCTCAGACAGAACGGCTCATCACCTTCCTGCAGGCCCTGCTCCATCTAAACCACATTATTTGACCCCTCTGCAGTTTTACATCCAGAAATGATTTGTTTAGGCAATCTTTTAATGTTACTGAAGATCCAAGAACAAAAGAATCAGTATGTTCTTGAATGCTAGCCTACTTAAAATACCATCTGCCCAAATTGCCTGATAGCATGCAGAACCATGCTCAGAAGGATGTTGCTTCTTTGCTTATACTGCCCTCCGTTGGCTATAGAGTAGTGGTGTTTATTTTATTAACTTAAATATTAACAAATGCTATGTTAAACATTATTTTAATGCAGATAGGAACTAAATGGGAATGCTGGCACTGTTTGAATATATTTGTTAATGTAACTGACGTGTAACAGGATCTTCAGAGTTTTCGTTCAAAACATTAGACACTACTGTTCAACAGTTTAGGGTTGGTAAGATTTTGAAAAATCTCTTATGCTCATCAAGGCTGCATTTTATTGTATTTTATAAAAAAATACAGTAAAAGCAGTAGGATACTGTGAAATATTATCACAATTTAAAATAACTATTTTCTATGTTAATAATGACAGTTGTCATAAACATGCATAAAACCTCCTTCATATTCATGACATGTGTCATTTCATGATTATGAAGGTGTCATGTCAGTCTTATGCACACCCCTTCAAGTAAAGTGTTACCCAAACATTTATATATTTATATATTATATTTATATAATGTATTTTATATCTGTGATGGTGAAGCTGAATTTCCAGCATTAATACTCCAGTCTTCGGTGTCACATGACTACTCAGAAATCATTCTAATATGCTGATTTGCTGCTCAGGAAACATTTCTTATTATTATCAATGCTGAAAACAGTTGTGCTGTTGAATATTTGATACTTTGATGAATAAACAGTTCAATAGAACAGCATTTTTTTTAAACAGAAGTCTTAAGACATTTTAAAATTGTTTGATCAATTTAATGCATCCTTGCTGAATAAAAGTCTTACATTTCTCTCCCAACTTAAAACAGAAGTAGGTGTTTTTCCAAATAAGACTGAACAGCAGAGGTGTAAATACTTTGTAATTGTACTTCCTTATACTTAAGTATTATTTAAGAAATGTAAGTACTTACTTGAGTTCTAGTGAAACTGAATCATGTATACTTAGTTACATTTCCATTTCACAATGGAAATGGTTCTTGCTGGTCATCATGACTAAAATCTTTCTCTTTTACTAAGCTAATAATCTGATCAAATTACACTTGGCTGAACTTCTCCAGCCAATGACATCAATTCAGTTGTAAACTGAATCTGGACACAACAGGTCATTCATCATTCATCATTCATCATTCATCACAACACAATCTGGCCTAAAGAAATATATTTTAATTACAGACTTTGTTGAAGATGGACAAACTTAACTCAAGTGGGAACATAGTCAATAATCAGTCTGTATCTCAAATCTTAACAACAAAACCAGCTTCTTCTGAAATTAAAATGCAATTTCTGGTAGGGTTTAGTTTAATATCTGGTCTTAGAGCACTATTCCAGACTTGCATTCAAGTATGTTTTGGCTAGATCATTTTGAAACAATATGCATTCTTTCCCTTTGCATTCAGTTTGTCAGTATTTTTACACCTCTGTCTGTCATCCAGTGAGAAAGGGCAAAGAACAAGGAAGTTCGAGCATTAAAAAAATTCTCTAAATGTCAAGTACAACTAGCTAAAGCTATTTGATTTTCTGCACATTCATCATTAATGGGGGGGAAATAGAACTGCCTTTTAAAAAGAAGGGATATTATGCAAAGATACAAATATACCGCACAGAAACAATTATTTGAAAATGGCTTCTACTCATTGTTCCTACTCATAAATTAATACAAATAAAGAGATGTGCTTACACTCTCAAAAAGGTGCATATTAGTACATCTTAGCATCAAATTGGTCAAAATTAGTACCTTTTGAAAGTTAATCAAATATTAACCAGTTTGCTTTAATTTGAGCCATGCAATTATCTGTTGGCTCAATGAACTTTGTGAACTTGCATTTCTGAATTAATGGATTTGGGAAGTCACAGAACACATGACACTGAATGCATCCAGTGACAAAAGCAAACACCAATCAGAAAGAAAGGGATGAATATCTTGAGCTCTTTCTATTGTTCATCTCCTGAAGAAATAAATCATACAAACTATGATTTTTTTCTTGGTTGTGTGATCATTTCTGTACTTTCTCAGAATGCAGTGACTCACAGGCAGTGCACAAATCATTTTTTGAGATTTTTTCACTAAAGGTGAGCAGACATTGCCTTTGTTCTTTCTGGGAATTGATGTCAAGGGAAAACTGCTCACCGCGAGTGCACAGACCTCACAAGAGAGGGGGTAAATCAGATGGATGGAAATGGCGTGAACAACAGCGTGGGGCAGGTATTGTCTGAACAGCTATAGTGAATGAAAATGAAACCATGGCAACTGGGTCAAAGGTATTTTAATAGACCAACAAAAGTAGACTTGACCCTTCCCATCTTGAGGCCTTTAGACTCCCAGTCAATGAGCACATGGTGGACACACAAAAGAACTGAAAAACACCTGAGATTTGAGGGCAAATGTTATCCTAGTCTTGCTGTATGTACAGTCATGGCCAAAAGTTTTGGCAGTGACATACATTTTGTGTTTTTTCAAAGTTTGCTGCTTCAGTATTTGTAGATTATTTTCCCACATGTTTCTATGGTATACTGAAAAACAATGATAAGCATATCATAAGTTTTAAAGGCTTTTATTGGCAAAAATATATATAATGAGTCAATATTAACAGTGTTGACCATTCTTCTTCTTAGCCTCTGCAATTCGCTCTGGCATGCTGATATTAGCTTCTGGGACAAATCCTGACTGATGGTGATCCATTCTTGCCTTATTAGTTCTCGGAGTTGATCACAATTTGTGGGCTTCTGCTTGTCCACTCGCCTTTTGAGGACTGACCACAGGTTCTCTATGGGATTGAGATCCGGGGAGTTGCCTGGCCACGGATCCAAAATTTCAATGTAATGATCTTCGAGCCACTTGTTTATTACTCTTGCTTTGTGACATGGTGCTCCATCATGCTGGAAAATGCACGGATCATCACCAAATTGCTCATGGATTGTTGTTAGAAGTCGCTCTTGCAGGACGT